CCCCCCTCCCCGCTGCATCGGGGGGGTGCTCCATGTGGGGGGAATGGCCACACACCACCAACACACCCCCCCCCCAGGCCCAGACACGGGCCCCACCTGGGCAGGGGGCCCTGGGCCAGAAGCTGGATGCCGACAAGGTGCTGCTTTCGTGACGTGTTTTCAGTTGCCCCCAGGGGGCGCCACCCTGTGGCTGCCCCCCCACCCCCATGCACGGGGCAGAGCAGACCCAGCGCTCAATAAACATAGGGTTGTTTCTTACTGGGCTCCGACTCTGTTATTCGCCCCCATCCCCACCCCCGGTGACAATGCCCCTCACGCCCAACTTGCAGCCCCCTGCTAGCCCAGCCTTGGGCTCCCCCACCCCCGGGCTCCCCCACCCCCAGGTCTGCTGGTGCCCCTCACTCATGACCCAGTGCCGAGGTGGGAATCCCCAGCAGCCATTGGCGGTACAGGGTTTATGACACACAGAACAGGACTGATCCCCTCCAGCAGAGGGCTGCAGGGAAAAACACACACACACACAAGATGGTGCAGTTCTCTTTCTCACCTTTTCCACGGTGTGGGGTGCTCTTGCCCTGGGGCAGCCTGTCTTCCACATGATGCCCACTCCCTGCGCTAGGTGCTGTATTTTCATCCTCCACATCTCGGTTCTGTATGTTCAGGACCATGCAAAGAAAGAGCTGAGAAAGAACAGCGCAGCCACCTGCAGGGCATGGCAGACTGGGAACAGTCACACGTAACATTGCACAGGGATGGCTTGCCCGGCGCTGAAGTGCAGCCACCTCTGGGGCGGGGCAGCGGGGGAACAGCCGCACATAACACCACACCGGGATGGCTTGCCCGGCGCTGAAGTGCAGCCACCCATGGGCGGTGGGTTAATCCTCCATCGCGGAGGCTAGTCCCCTGCCCCTACCCCACCCCTTCCAGCCTCCCTCACCCACCGGAGCCAGAGGAACCCCAAGCCCCCCACTGCAGCAGGAGGAGCCCCGGTCCGCCCGCCCGAGCCCCTGCCAGCTTCTGGGGAGAGGCGGAGTGAGGGCGGGAAGAGGAGCAGCGTGGGGAGGGCTATGGGGGAAGAGCAGGATGTGGGAGTGGGGCTTCGAGCCGAGTGTGGGCAGGGCCACAGCCTTGGTGCCCTTTCGCCGGCAGCGTGCCTCCAGAGGGAGGGGCACCGCATCCTGTTTGGGGAGGCTTAGCCTCCCCTGGCCTATTATACCCATCACCCATGCAGCCACCTCTGGGGCGGGGCAGCGGGAGAACAGCCGCACATAACACCACACAGGGATGGCTCGCCTGGTGCTGAGATGCAGCCACCTCTGGAGCACACTCTGGAGAACGATGCCACAGTTCCCCAAGGCCAAGACTACTTGTCCCATTCTTCAGGAGTTGGGCCGACAGGTCCCAAGAGGAGTCCAGGGCTAAGCGCAGGTTTCTGGGGGGGGTGTGTGTGGGGGGGCAGCTGGAGTCCCCAGCATTGACCCGGACTGTGAGGGGCGAATCTTCAGTGGGACCAAGCTGAGGACCTGCCCAGGGATAATGGAGAGGAATCTGGGACACGGCCCTACACAGGGCGGGGCGAGGGGGAATGGGGTACGGGGCCTTTCCCCTCTGGGGGCGCCCGCTTCCATCTGGCCCTATTTCTCTCGGCCATTCAGCGCCCTGGGGACATGGCGGGTTTGGGCCCCAGAGGCCTCTCAACTGGCCCCTCATGCCCGAGATGGGGAGGAAAGTCCTAACCTGGGGCAGAGCTCTGAAAAAGGAAGTCAGATGCCCTATCCCAGCATGTCCCAGCATGCCCCATTAAGAGAGAAGATCTCCCAGCATGCACCAGTGCAGAATGGGACTCCCAAAATCCACCAGGCCTGGAGCAGACTCCCAGGATGCACCATGATCAGAGCAGTGCTCCCAGCGTGCACCAGGCCCAGTGCAGGACTCCCAGAATGCACCAGGCTCAGAGCAGAACTCCCAGCATGCACTGGTCCTGGAGTGGTACTCCCAGAATGCACCAGGCTCAGAACTGAGCTCCCTGCATACACCAAGCTCAGAGCAGAACTCCCAGCATGCACTAGTCCTAGAGTGGTACTCCCAACATGCACTGGGGCTCACCACCACCCTTGCCTTCAGCCCTAGCTCCTGTCCTGCTCCTGTTCCTGAATCTCCCCTGCCTACCCAGGGCACCTCCCAATAGGAGGCTCCCGCTGAGCAGCCCTCTGCTGTGTGGGGCTGAGTAGAGTCCTGATCCCCACCTGCCCGGCTCCCTGGGGATAAGGAAATGACAGGGGGACAGGAGGGGGAATTGAGCACACTGAGATGCAGCCATCTCTGGGGCGGGGCAGCTGGGGAACATCTGCACATAACGCTGTATGGGGAAGGCTCGCCCAGTGCTGAGATGCAGCCACCTCTTGGGCAGGGCAGTTCTCTTCCTCTTTGTTTCCAGTTCTCGGGGTTCCCTTTCATTTTGCGGCCACAACACTTGCAGACAAACAGTCCTCTGAGTGCACGCACACACGCACGCGCGCACACACACACACACACACACACACGGTCTCTCTCACACACGCGCCTCGCAGGAAGTACAGGCGGGAGGAAATGACTCGTGGGGCCTCCTCGTTCTGCTGCCCGAGTGCTGCCCTCCCCCTCCTGCTCACACACCGTCCCAGCGCCTGCTGCCATGAGGGTGAGTCCCCAGCCCCCATTCCGGATGCCTGGGTTCCCCGGCTCTGATCAGAGCCAGCTGTGCCCCCAGTCCAGCACCACGGCCCCGACTTCCTGCCACGAGCGACCCCGGTGGGTCACAGCTGCAGGAGGGGGGGGGGGCATTGAGTGGGGAGGGGCATGGGGAGCCAGGCAGGCTGGTGATGGGAACCAGGTCTCCTGGCCGGAGGGGGGCGGGCGGGAGAGGAGCTGGCAAGGGGCGGGGAGCGGGACCCTGGGATGGGAACCAGGCCACAAAGCTGATGTGCATATGGGGCCGCAGCTAACAGTTGTAGACCTACATCCCCCCCGACATGCCATCCGGTCCCTATCTATCTATTTATCTATCTATCTATCTCCACACACCCCCTCTATCTATCTATCTATCTATCTATCTATCTATCCTCACACACCCCCTCTATCTATCTATCTATCTATCTCTGTACACCCTCCACCCCATCTGATTCATTTGCCCTGTGAATAGACCTTGTCCAGCCACTGTCACCAGTCCCTTGGGAGCCAGTGTGAGTTCCAGTGCAGTCACCTGCCCTGACATCAGAGCAACCCTCCCCCAGCCTGGCCTGACCCCTCCGGGCTGTTCACCATGCAGGGTGGGGGGGGTTCTCCTCTGTACCCCGGGATTGTGTCAGAGTTCAATTTGTGTGGGGGGAGAAAGAAGTTTCTAGCTCATGGGCTTGGGGATCAAACATGAGTCAGTGACACTGCCTGAGTCTGCCAGAGTTATCAGCGAGTTATCTTAAGTGCCAATACACAAATGCAAGAAGCCTGGGAAACAAGCAGGGAGAACTGGAAGTCCTGGCACAGTCAAGGAACTATGATGTTATTGGAATACCAGAGACTTGGTGGGATAACTCACATGTCATGGATGGATATAAACTGTTCAGGAAGGACAGGCAGGGCAGAAAAGGTGGGGGAGTTGCATTGTATGTAAGAGAGGAGTATGACTGCTCAGAGCTCTGGTATGAAACTGCAGAAAAACCTGAGAGTCTCTGGATTAAGTTGAGAAGTGTGAGCAACAAGGGTGATGTCGTGGTGGGAGTCTGCTATAGACCACCAGACCAGGGGGATGAGGTGGATGAGGCTTTCTTCCGGCAACTAGCAGAAGTTACTAGGTCACAGGCCCTGGTTCTCATGGGAGACTTTAATCACCCTGATAGCTGCTGGGAGAGCAATACAGACAATGCAGGAAGTTTTGGGAAAGTGTAGGGGACAATTTCCTGGTGCAAGTGCTGGAGGAACCAACTAGGGGCAGAGCTTTTCTTGACCTGCTGCTCACAAAACAGGAAGAATTAGTAGGGGAAGCAAAAGTGGATGGGAACCTGGGAGGCAGTGACCATGAGATGGTCGAGTTCAAGATCCTGACAGAAGGAATAAAGGAGAGCAGCAGAATACGGACCCTGGACTTCAGAAAAGCAGACTTTGACTCCCTCAGGGAACTGATGGGCAGGATCCCCTGGGAGAATAACGTGAGGGGGATAGGAGTCCAGGAGAGCTGGCTGTATTTTAAAGAATCCTTATTGAGGTTGGAGGAAAAAACCATCCCAATGTGTAGAAAGAACAGTAAATATGGCAGGCGACCAGCTTGGCTAAACAGTGAAATCCTTGCTGATCTTAAACGGAAAAAAGAAGCTTACAAGAAGTGGATGATTTGACAAATGACCAGGGAGGAGTATAAAAATATTGCTCAGGCATGCAGGAGTGAAATCAGGAAGGCCAAATCACACTTGGAGTTGCAGCTAGCAAGAGATGTTAAGAGTAACAAGAAGGGTTTCTTCAGGTATGTTAGCAACAAGAAGAAAGTCAAGGAAAGTGTGGGCCCCTTACTGAATGAGGTAGGCAACCTAGTGACAGAGGATGTGGAAAAACCCAATGTACTCAATGCTTTTTTTGCCTGTCTTCACAAACAGGGTCAGCTCCCTGACTGCTGCACTGGGCAGCACAGTATGGGGAGGAGGTGACCAGCCCTCTGTGGAGAAAGAAGTGGTTCGGGACTATTTAGAAAAACTGGACGAGCACAAGTCCATGGGGCCGGATGCGCTGCATCCGAGGGTGCTAAAGGAGTTGGCGGGTGTGATTGCAGAGCCATTGGCTATTATCTTTGAAAACTCGTGGCGATCGGGGGAGGTCCCGGATGACTGGAAAAAGGCTAATGTAGTGCCCATCTTTAAAAAAGGGAAGAAGGAGGATCCGGGGAACTACAGGCCAGTCAGCCTCACCTCAGTCCCTGGTAAAATCATGGAGCGGGTCCTCAAGGAATCAATTCTGAAGCACTTAGAGGAGAGGAAAGTGATCAGGAACAGTCAGCATGGATTCACCAAGGGCAAGTCATGCCTGTCTAACCTAATTGCCTTCTATGATGAGATAACTGGCTCTGTGGATGAGGGGAAAGCAGTGGATGTGTTATTCCTTGACTTTAGCAAAGCTTTTGATTCGGTCTCCCACAGTATTCTTGCAAGCAAGTTAAAGAAGTATGGGCTGGATGAATGGACTATAAGGTGGATAGAAAGCTGGCTAGATCGTCAGGCTCAACGGGTAGTGATCAATGGTTCCATGTCTAGTTGACAGCCGGTATCAAGCGGATTGCCACAAGGGTCGGTCGTGGGGCTGGTTTTGTTCAATATCTTCATTAATGATCTGGAGGATGGCGTGGATTGCACTCTCAGCAAGTTTGCAGATGACACTAAACTAGGAGGAGTGGTAGATACGCTGGAGGGTAGGGATAGGATACAGAGGGACCTAGACAAATTAGAGGATTGGGCCAAAAGAAACCTGATGAGTTTCAACAAGGACAAGTGCAGAGTCCTGCACTTAGGAAGGAAGAATCCCAGGCACTGTTACAGACTAGGAACCGAATGGCTAGGAAGCAGTTCTGCAGAAAAGGACCTAGGGGTTACAGTGGACGAGAAGCTGGATATGAGTCAACAGTGTGCCCTTGTTGCCAAGAAGGCTAACGGCATTTTGGGCTGTATAAGTAGGAGCATTGCCAGCAGATCGAGGGACATGATCATTCCGCTCTATTCGACATTGGTGAGGCCTCATCTGGAGTACTGTGTCCAGTTTTGGGCCCCACACTACAAGAAGGATGTGGAAAAATTGGAAAGAGTCCAGCGGAGGGCAACAAAAATGATTAGGGGTCTGGAGCACATGACTTATGAGGAGAGGCTGTGGGAACTGGGATTATTTAGTCTGCAGAAGAGAAGAATAAGGGGGGATTTGATAGCTGCTTTCAACTACCTGAAAGGGGGTTCCAAAGAGGATGGATCTAGACTGTTCTCAGTGGAAGCTGATGGCAGAACAAGGAGCAATGGTCTCAAGTTGCAGTGGGGGAGGTTTAGTTTGGATATTAGGAAAAACTTTTTCACTAGGAGGGTGGTGAAGCACTGGAATGGGTTACCTAGGAAGGTGGTGGAATCTCCTTCCTTAGAGGTTTTCAAGGCCCGGCTTGACAAAGCCCTGGCTGGGATGATTTAGTTGGGGATTGGTCCTGCTTTGAGCAGGGGGTTGGACTAGATGACCTCCTGAGGTCCCTTCCAACCCTGAGATTCTATGATTCTATGAGAGCCTGAGCCCACTGCTGGGTGTGGGGAGCTTCCCTGGGTGTGACTGACCCAGCAATGCTGCCTGAGTCGGCTGAGAGCCTGAGCCCATTCCTGCGGGTAGCAGCTCCCCCAGTAGCTCATAAATCAACAAAGCAAATCCCCCCCCAGCCCCACCCCAACACTGCTGGGTCTCTCCTCCCAGGCATCTCAGGCTTTGAAAACATTTCACACACGTTGGTCACCTTAGTAGCCCCTCGTGGCTAGTCTGATTCAGTATGGCGCTGCACCACTGCATATGAATGCCTGGGCAGGGAATCCAGGGCAGGGCTAGCAGGTGCTGCAGGTCAGGAGTGAGGGGCACTGGCAGAGCTGGAGGCGGGCTCAGGCCTGGGCTGGCATGGGGCTGCGGGTGGGAGTGAGGGGTGCCAACAGAGCCCAGGACAATTGAGTCTCTCTGGTTTTGCTGCAGGTCCAGGTCTCTGTATTCTTGTTCCTGGTCCTGGTCCCAGTCCTGGTTCTGACTCAGCAAGGTAAGTGTCACCTGCCTCTCCCTATGGCACCACAGCCCTGGGGCACCAGACCCCTTGGCTGACCAGGAAATCCAGCCTTGGGAAACATCTGTAGGAGGGACCGGCTGTCCTGGTGGGGCTGGGAACCAGGACTCCTGGGTTCTATCCCAGCTCTGGGAGGGGAGGGGGGTCTAGTGGTTAGATGGGGGGCTGGGAGCCAGGGCTCCTGGGGATCTGTTCCCCCCCCTCTGTTTCTGTCCTTTTATGTGACCTTGGGCATGTCTCTTCGCTTCTCTGTGTCTCAGGTTCCTTCTCTTTAGGGGGAGAAAGGGGAATCCCCCTCAATCAAGAGCTGTACAGGGAATATGATGTGTAGCAGTGTAGGGCTGTTTCCGGGCAGCGTGCACCGCTCACATGCATGCATACACACACACGGAGCAGGGTTCGTCCTCTCCAGCAGGGACACACACACACACACACACACACACACTGGAAGCTGGGTGGCAGAGGACAACAAGCCATGGGTCTGCCTGTCTGGCCTGGGGCTCCCCCACCCAAAATGTCCCACTCAGCCCTTTGCTCTGTCAAAGTCAGATTCAGGACTCACAATTTGTCAAACCACTCTGTTTATTAGCACAGCGCTCTGCCAATGCACCCAGATAATGTGAGCACCATGCAAGACTCAAACTATCTTATTTATACAGATAACAGGGCGCGAACTTAACAAGATAACAAAGGAAGCAGAACTGATACGTTTACCTGGGGCTAGACACACATATCTTATTTCCTTACTAACTCTTACCGATCTCCTGTTAATGTCCCACCATTAGCTTAAGTGGACTCATTGTTCTATACCTTAATGTTTCTCTTCCTGACACCTGTATTTCAACGTTCCTTATTTCTGCTTAAAGGTACATACAGCATTTCTTCAATCCATTCTATTTTTACAATATAATTCATTTTACTTTCACAATCCCTCCTTTTGGTCAAGCTACGCTATTTGGCTTTTTCCCAGATCCAACCCTGTCCCATTACATACCTAACACCAATGACCTTTTCCCTCCGCCACACTTATCCATTTAGATACATTTATTCCCACTGCTTCCCAAGTGTCATTGCTGTTCCATGTTTTGTTAAACGGACGAGGTCCTCCAGTGAGGTCTGGGGAATTGAGTGGGATTGCCAGGACAGGAACACCAGCTTGAGAGTGGGCTGGGATGTGGCTGCAGACCCAGCAATTAGAAATATTAAGGGTCTGAGCTATCCACATTTGCTGCTGGATAAAAGAATTGTCATTGTGGACTCCCCAGACCTTAAGACACCAGCAGCCGAGGAACAGGCACCACCAGAGGCGCATGTTGGAGGCAAGACCCTGCTGGTTCTGACAACCTCAACTGAGGGAACCGCAGTCACGGTTTTACATCCACCAGGGAGCAGGCGCTAGGCTCGCTACTGCTTCTTCTTGCGCCTTGCTTTAGGTCGTCGTCTGCTTCTGGCAACCCTTACGAGAGCGTAGATTGTAAGGTATTGCAGGCTATTCCTCTACGTCTTCTTCTGGAGTCAAAATTGACTCTGTGTGGTCCTGAGGTGATGACTGGTTCGCTGGAGATGGTGCCGTCTTACACTGCGAAGCATGTATCCACGCTGCGATGCCAGATAGTTTAACAGCCATCTGGGTAGTAAGCAGTACTTGATGAGGACCCTTCCACCAGGGCTCCAAGGCCTGTTTTTGATGATAGTGCCGTACGTAGACCCAATCACCTGGCTCGAGGTTGTGGCAAGCGTCAGAGGTGGGTTCCGTTGGCCAGGAGGCTCAAACCTGTGAATGGAAGTGACTTTCGGCTTGCATTAATCCCTTGCAATATTGAAGGAGCGTACTGTGCGTCAAGTTCACGTCTGGGACTGGAGTAATGGTAGCCATAGCTCCCATAGGGCGTCCCATAACAATTTCAAAGGGACTCAATTTATGCCTTTGGGATGGAGTGGATCGCATTTCGATAAGGGCCAGTGGTAAAGCCGCTGGCCAACTTAACCCTGTAGAGTCACAAAGTTTGGCAAACTTATTCTTAAGTACACCATTTCGTCTTTCAACTGCACCTGCGCTCTGTGGGTGGTAGGGACAGTGCAACAGGTGTGTGATATGTAATACACAATCCAGGTGTTGAACAAGTTGTCCAGTAAAATGTGTACCCCGATCACTGGACAGAGTGGCAGGAATTCCCTTGGCATGCATAATATGATTTAACAAACATTTGGTAACAGACAGTGAGTCAGCCTTTCGAGAAGGAAAGGCTTCGATCCAACCAGAAAATAAACAGAATAAATTCATATTGTTGACACTTAGGCATTTGTACAAAATCAAGTTGCCAATGCAAGAATGGTACTTGGGGCAGGCCCCGGAACCCCTGAGCCACTTTTACAGGTTTACCAATATTGTGGCTTTGGCAAGTGGTACAGGCGGCACAGTGGCGGGTTGCAAAAGAGCTGAAATGGGGGGCCCACCATCCTGCCTTAGTTACAGCACAGACCATCCCCTCCTTTCCGACATGTGAAACACCGTGTAGCAGGGCGGCCAGTGACGGGTAGAGTGAAAAGGGGGCCACAAAGGCGCCAGCAGGCGAACGCCAAAGGGAATCAGGATGTAGAGAGCAACCCTGGGCAACCCAGGAGTCCTTTTCGGCTTCTGGGTCAGAGTCTTGGAGCAGGGTGAGGTTAGTGAGGGACGGCGATGGTTTAGAACCAGAAAGGGAACCTAGAAACGCATCTGGAGAAGGTTCTATGGCAGCAGCATGTTTAGCAGAGGCGTCAGCAAATGCGTTACCCTTAGCAACATCAGTATCCGCCATCGAGTGGCCAAGGCACTTAACAATAGCTAGGGCAGACGGAAGTAAAACTGCATACAGGAGAGCAGCGATGTAGGGGCCATTTTTGATAGGGGTACTAGCGGAGGTAAGGAAACCCCGAGCTTGCCAGAGGGTGCCAAAGTCATGTACAACCCCAAAAGCGTAGCGGGAGTCAGTCTAAATGGTGGCGGAGCGTCCCTCCGCCAAAAAGCAGGCACGGGTGAGGGCAACTAATTCAGCAACTTGCGCTGAGGTTACAGAAAGTAAAGGCGCAGCTTCTAGAGTTTCAGAGAGTGACACTACAGCGTATCCTGCAAGGAGACGACCTTGGTTGTCTCGAAAACAGGAACCATCAGTAAACAAAACAAGGTCAGAGTTAGGGAGAGGGACATCAGAAAGGTCAGGGCGCGGAATGGTAAAAGCAGAGACCGTTGCAAGGCAGTCGTGGGGATCACCGTCATCAGACAAAGGAAGGAGAGTGGCAGGGTTTAACTGAGAACAACGCTTTATGGTGATATACGAAGCCGACAGCAGTAAAAGTTCATACCTGGTAAGGCGGGCGGTGGAGAGGTGGCCTGTGTTACGTTGTAGCAGGAGGGTTTCCACAGAGCGAGGGACCATGAGGGTAAGAGGAGAGCGGAGGACAAGGGATTCGGACATTTCGACTAGGCACGCTGCGGTAGCCACAGCACGCAGGCAGGGGGATAAGCCTTGGGCAACAGGGTCCAAAGTGGCAGAGAAATAAGCCACTGGGCGGTTTTTGTCTCTGTGCATCTGAGTGAGGACGCCCAGTGCACACCCAGATTGTTCGTGGCAGAAAAGGGTGAAGGGCTTAGAATAGTCAGGCAGCCCTAAGGCGGGGGCAGAAGCCAAACCCTGTTTGAGGGAAACAAAGGCAGAGTCGGCCTCAGGGGGCCACGGCATGGGGTCAGGCACAGAGACTCGAGTGAGTTCCTGGAGAGGTTTTGCAAGGGAGGCATATTGGGGAATTCATTGCCTGCAAAATCCAGCCATGCCCAAAATCTTTCGGCCCTGGCGTGGGGAGCGGGGTCGGGGAAAGCTGAGGATAGCTTGGACGCGGGCGGGAGAAAGTGTACGGGAACCCTGGGAGAGGAGAAAGCCAAGGTACGTGACAGGCTTGACAGAGCTGTAGCTTAGAGTGAGAAGTCTTGTGACCCTTCTTTGCTAGGGCAGTAAGGAGCACTAAAGAATCAGTTTCTGAAGCAGACAACAAAGGGGAACAGAGGAGTAGATCATCTACATATTGGACTAGTGTGGACCTGGACGGAAAAACAAGGTCAGCGATGTCTCAGGCTAATGCTTGGGAAAAGTAAGTTGGGCTTTCAGTATACCCCTGAGGGAGCGTGGTCCATGTGTACTGCTGCCCCTTGTAAGAAAAGGCAAAAAGATACTGGGAGTCAGGGTGAACCGGGACAGAAAAGAAAGCAGAGCACAAATCAACAACAGTAAAATGAGTTGCACCTAGTGGGATAGAAGCCAGAATTGTTGCTGGGTTAGGGACAACAGGAAAGGCGGGTATAACAATGCGGTTAATGGCTCGAAGATCCTGAACAAACGGCCACGATTTACCATCAGCTTTTCGAACTGGGAGGATAGGGGTGTTACAGGGGCTGGAGCAGGGGACAATAATGCCTTGTTCCCACAGGGCGGGCATGACCGGAGCAATGCCAGCCTCTGCTTTGGGGTTTAAAGGGTATTGAGACAGGCGAGGCAGGGGTTTGGAGGAGTCAACAGTAATGCACATGGGGTCAGTATTTAAGCGGCCCACTTCAGATGGGTGGGTTGGCCACAGAAAAGATGGGACCTGCGAAATTAGGTGTTCAAGGGATGGGATCAATGGGTAACAGGGAACTGGAGTGGAAAGGGAAGTTTCAGACAGCAGGGAGGCCACAGAATCGCTCAGAGAGGACTGGGGAATTTGTAAGTAGACACCATCTGGGGAAGAATAGATGGTACAGCCAAGTTTACATAACAGATCCCGACCCAAAAGGTTTACCGGAGTGGAATCAGAGAGAAGGAATGCATGATCCGCGGAAAGGGGACCGACCTGGACCGGTAGAGGTTTTGAAAGGGGATAAGGGGTTGGGATTCCCGTAATACCCACAGCGGACACGGTTTTTCCGGAGCGGGGAACCGCAGGCAGGTCAGTAGTACAAACTGCAGAGAGTGAAGCTCCCGTATCAACAAGGAAAGGGAGAGAAAGATCATTAATAGTCAAAAGACACTCACCCGTGGGAGTGAGAGGTAGTAAAGGAGCTAAAATTTCCTGAGGTTCCCCGGCGTCCCGTCATTGCTGTGGGACAAAGTAAGGCTGGGGATTGTCCGGCTGTGCCGACAGGGGGTCTAGCTGGTTATTTACAGAGTTATCAGGCCGGCACGGACACTCGTTCTTCCAATGTCCGGGCTGCTTACAGTAATTACAAACATCCCCCAAACCCGAAAATCCAGTTCCACGGCCCCTCCCGCGACCACGGGTGCGATAGTTGCCCGGGTTTTCTCCCTGTCGCTGTTTACAGCAATGTATGGCTGTGCAGTTGATTTTTGGAGTCCACACTCGAGGGATGGCCTCATGTAAGTTTTTAGCTCGGTCTTTACACTTTTTCCGGGATTCAGCGTCAGGACCGGTGTCTGGCAAATTAGAGTGGCGCTCACTGGCGGGCCAATTTGCTGCTGTGAGCCATTTTTCATGCTCGCTAGGGGTTGCAAGTAGCTTGCACAGCTGCAGGAGGTCTGTCTCAGAGGGTTCATAGGTGTCGCACACTAACAAAAATTCCTCTGCGAATTTGGTAGGATTTTCCAGGGGCTTCAGAAAGCCTTTTACAATTGAAAGGAGCTCTGTGCGAGTCCAGGGTTTATAGCTCCAAGTGGGACCCCCTTCTTGGCCCCCAGTATGCAGGATTCGGAGGGGAGCCTGGACAGTTTTAGAGCCAGAGCGCAAGCGTTGGGCCCAATCAGTATCCAGGCTATCTTCGTATGTATGGGGGAAAGAGGAGGAGTCAGGCAGACTGGAGGGTTTCGGGGGAACGGGGTTTTTTTCTTTATGGGCCTGAGCGTACCGGAGGAATGGGTCTGGGCGGTATCGGACGATCTGGGCTGGCCTGAACTGGAGACCCCTGGGAGTTGTTCCTGAACTGGGGAGGTTGGTAACCGTCTATTGATCGGACGCAAGGCTGCCAAACCAATTAATGTGTCTTCCTCATCAGCTGCCACGGACATCCTACAAAAACGGTCAGGAATCACACAGCCCCAGCGAAGACGGTTGCCATCTCGGTGGAACCTCCAAATTGTCAAAGTTAGAATCAGGTTGTCAAACCACTCTGTTTATTAGCGCAGCCCTCTGCCAATGCACCCAGATAATGTGAGCACCATGCAAGACTCAAACTATCTTATTTATACAGATAAAAGGGCGTGAACTTAACAAGATAACAAAGGAAGCAGAATTGATAAGTTTACCTGGGGCTAGACACACATATCTTATTTCCTTACTAACTCTTACCGATCTCCTGTTAATGCCCCACCATTAGCTTAAGTGGACTCATTGGTCTATACCTTAATGTTTCTCTTCCTGACACCAGTATTTCAACATTCCTCATTCCTGCTAAAAGGAACATACAGCATTTCTTCAATCCATTCTATTTTTACAATATAATTCTTTCTACTTTCACAGCTCCCACAGATAACTCCCTGAAGGATGTCGTAGTGACGCCTTTGCTGGCTAAGACAATCCTTGAGGATAAGCAGGGGGGTAAGTGACAGCCCAGAGCCCACTGCATGGACAGGTGTGCTGTGGGGAGCAGGGCAGGGAGTTAGTAGGGGGCGCTGTGCTGTGGAGAGCGGAGCGGGGGGTCAGAAGGGTTGCGGGGAGCAGGGGGTCAGCAGAGGGTGCTGTGCTGCAGGGAGCGGGCTGGGACCCAGAAGGGGCGCTCTGTATGTGGGTGTCCCTGCTGGTTGGGATCAGCCCAGTGCTGTGGGGTGTGTGTGTGTGTGTGGGATACAGACTAGCTGCCATGTGGGTCATTGTCGCTCACACACACACACGGAGGCTTTTATCCTTCATCAGCAATCGTCATCTCGACGCCCGAAGTGGGGCAGGACTCTGGAGTCATGACCACATCTGACCCCAACTTGGATTTGAGAGGTGAATATCAGTGCCTGGCAGCCATCCCTGTGTGGCGTTATGTGCAGCTGTTCCCCAGCTGCTCCGCCCCAGAGGTGGCTGCATCTTAATGCCAGAAAAGCCATCCCTGTGTGGCATTATGTGCAGCTGTTCCCCGACTGTCCCACCCCAGAGGTGGCTGATCTGTTGTTTCTAATCTCAGTTCTTTCTTTGCATGACATGGCCAGATGGAGACCAAGATGCAGAGTGGGAAAACACATCTAGCGCAGGTAGTAGGCATCATGTGGAACATGGGATGACCAAGGGTGGGAGCTCCCCACTCCAGGCCAAGCCAGATCCCCTCCACATAGGCCCCAGTCATAGAATCATAGAAGATCAGTGTTGGAAGAGGCCTCAGGAGGTCACCTAGTCCAACCCCCTGCTAAAAGCAGGACCAACACCCAATAAATCATCCCAGCCAGGGCTTTGTCCACCCCCCCAATCATACAGCAGGTAACTGCTCTGCCCCACAATGTGCCCCCAGTCCCTCCAGTGGCGACACCCCAGTTAGGTGTGACTTGGCTGGGAAAAGCTCCCTACATAAGAGCTTAGCCTGAAAAGAGTGACAAGGACATTAAAAATGGAAGAAGGACCAGCTGGGAGAGCAGGGGGCTGCGGGTCAGGAGTGAGGGGCACAGGCCGAGCTGTTGAGGGGAACCCCAGGGCTGGGATAGCCAGGGCTGCGGGACGAGAGTGAGGGGCACCGGCCGAGCTGTTGAGGGGAACCCCAGGGCTGGGATAACCAGGGCTGCAGGTCAGGAGTGAGGGGCACCGGCGGAGCTGGCGGGGGCGGGCAGAAGGGTCCAAGATCTGAGTCCCACCCTCCTTTGATCTCCCTGCAGCCACCACAGGGTCTGGAGGCTCCAGTTCCAGCAGCACAAGCACAACCGCTTCAGGTAGGAGAAACAACCGTGAAGCTTGAACCGGTCGGGGGTCCCAGGTGGTGATGGTAGGGGAGGGTCCGGAGTGCTGGAGACAGGCAGAGCCCCCAGCACGATCAGTCAGGAGAAGATGAAATCTCAATGGAACTGATGCAGATGTTGGATCCAGGCATCAGAACACTGACTGGAGTGTGGGTAGGAGTTTTTGTAGGGAAAGGGCAATGGTTCAAGGGAGAACACTAGATTTGTTTGTGGGTAAACTGATGGCTCAAGGGAGAATACCAAAGTTGTTTCGTTCAGGCTAGACAATAGGAACTGTTCATTCCTGGCTATGGGAGGTGTTTTTTCAAGGGAGTTCACAATGCAATTAGGCAGCTGCAGTATTTTGGATACCAATAAAGGATTTATTACTAGAATTGGTCTGATAACTGCTGAGCTGGGTGTGGGCAGGCGTGGGTTCATTGACATCTGGAGCAGAGATCCCCCATCATGCAGTGCTTCCCTGCTTTTCTGGTCCCAGAGTTCAGTGCCGTTCTTGCCTTGGAATCTCTGTTCTCCATTCTGTATGCTAATGGGGATGCCTCCCTGTCCCATCTTTGATGCAAATGAGGCTAGGGGAGTTTCCTTAATCCGTCACCCTTGTCCCAGGGGTTTAGGTGTGTCTCCCCCCGCCCTTCACTGCTCTCTGCAAGTCTTTCTTCTGATCAGCTTTGGTTCAAGCAGAGGCTGGGGGGGGGTGTCCTTCGTGAATCAAACAGACTGGATACTGCACCCTGGTTCCCCAAGAACATAGAGCTGACAGGTAACAGCCCAGAGGCGGCCGCATCTCAGTACCAAGCGAGGGGTCGCTGGATAACCAGCCCCCCCACATCCCACCCCAGACGCAGCTGCATCTCGGGACCGGGAGAGGGCTCCCTGGATAACCAGCCCCCCCATGTCCCACCCCAGAAGCAGCCGCATCTCAGTGCCAAGCAAGGAGTCCCTGGATAACCAGCCCCTCAGATCCCACCCCAGAGGTGGCTACATCTCGGGGCTGGGAGAGGGCTCCCTGGATAACCAGCCACCCTGTGCCCCATCCCAGAGGCGGGGTGGGGGAGAGCAGGTCTTAGCTGGGGTCTCTGGATCCTTTTCACCCCAAAACTTGTTCTTTCTAGGCTCCACGAGGCCTGTTACCCACAGAGAGCCCGGGAGCTCGGCCAGATCAGGTGAGTGCCCTGGGGCCGGATCGGAGCCGGAGCCCCCCAGAGGGGAAAAGTCCCCGGCTCATTCCCTCCCCCCCCCGAGCTGGGCATTTGGGGTAATTCTCTCTCTGCCCCCGCAGGAGCCGGCCAAAGCCAAGAGGAAATCTTCACTTACGGTGGGTAGCAGCTGTTCCTGCATCGAGCAGCAGGGGGTGCTGCTGCTCACCTCACTCGACTCACAGTCATCCCCTTCCCTCCTCCCTTCCAGATTACTACTCCCTGCGCAAGTGGGGCCTGATAGCCGCAGCCATCCTCTTCGTCCTGGGCATCCTCATCCTCACCTGTGAGTAGGGCCTGGAGCCAGGACTCCTGGGTTCTCTCCCTGGCTCTGAGATGGGAGTGGGGTCTGATGGGTAGAGCGGGGCTGGGAGCCAGGATGCCTGGGTTCTCTCCCCGGCTCTGGGAGGGGAGTGGGGTCTTATGGGTAGAGCGGGGCTGGGAGCCAGGACGCCTGGGTTCACACTCGTTCTCTCTCCATCCCCAGGTGGTAAATACGGGAAGCTCCCCGGATGTGGGGGCCGGAAGCGGAGGAGGTGAGAGCCACCCCCGTCCCCTCTTGGGCCCCGCAGGGTCCCTCCAGCCCAGCCCCCCTCACCCTCTCTCCCTTTTCCTTGCAGCGCCTATGATATCTCACGGCTCTGAGGCACCCCCTGCTGGGGGATCCGTTTGGGGACCGGACACTGCTTGGAGGGGCCGGCTCGGAGCCCCACAGTGATGCTGCATACCTGGGGGCTGGGGCAGAACCAGCAGCACAGACCTGAGGGCTGCCAAGTGCCCCCTGCTTCCTCCTCTGTGATCCGCCTGTCAGCAGCACCCCAGCTCTGATCACCCCGGCCTGGCCCCTCTAGCCCCCGGCCGACTCCCCAGCCTGTCCCCCGGGCCTGGATCCTCCATCCCTCTCCTTTCCCCCTCTCATCCTTGTCCCCCCATCCCTGTCCCCTCCCCCTCCCATCCTTGTCCCCCCATCCCTGTCCCCTCCCCCTTCCTGGCCTGGATTCCCCATCCTTGTCCCCTCTTCAGGCCTTATCCCCCCCAAATCCGAGTCCCCAGCCTGCGCCTGGCCTGTCTTCCCCATCCCTGTCCACCCTCCCCATCTCTGAGCGCCGGTCGCCCCTGTGTTGTATTTTGATGATATTAAACGACCCCCCCTGGGGAAGCAAAGTATCTGTGAGCCTCTCACACAACATGGAGGTGTGTGTGTGTGGGGGGGGGGGGTAGGAGTCAGGACTCCTGGGTTCTATTCCCAGCTCTGGGAGGGAAGTGGGGTCTAGTGGTGTGAAGGCTCCTTCCCCACTCTGAACTTTAGGGTACAGATGTGGGGGCCTGCATGAAAACTTCTAAGCTTAACTACCAGCTTAGATCTGGTCAGCTGCCACCACTCCCAATGGGCTAACTCCCTTCCCTGGGTAGCCTTGAGAGACTCTTCCACCAACTCCCTGGTGAACACAGATCCAACCCCTTGGATCTTAAAACAAGGAGAAATTAACCATCCCCCCTCCTTTCTCCCACCAACTCCTGGTGGATCCAGATCCAATCCCCTTGGATCTAAAAACAAGGAAAAATCAATCAGGTTATTAAAAAAGGCTTTTAATTAAAGAAAAAGGTCAAAATCATCTCTGTAAAATCAGGATGAAAAATAACTTTACAGGGTAATCAAACTTAAAGAGCCCAGAGGAACCTCCTCTAGCCTTAGGTTCAAAGTTACAGCAAACAGAGGTAAACACCCTAGTAAAAGGTACATTTACAAGTTGAGAAAACAAAGATAAACCTAACACGCCTTGCCTGGCTGTTTACTTACAAGTTTGAAATATGAGAGACTTGTTCAGAAAGATTTGGCGAGCCTGGATTGATGTCTGGTCCCTCTCAGTCCCAAGAGCGAACAACCCCCAAAACAAAGAGCACAAACAAAAGCCTTCCCCCCCCCCCAAGATTTGAAAGTATCTTGTCCCCTTATTGGTCCTTTGGGTCAGGTGTCAGCCAGGTTACCTGAGCTTTTTAACCCTTTACAGGTAAAAGGATTTTGGAGTCTCTGGCCAGGAGGGATTTTATAGTATTGTACACAGGAGGGCTGTTACCCTTCCCTGTATAGTTATGACAAGTGGGTTAGAGCAGGGGGGCTGGGGGCCAGGACTCCTGGGTTCTATCCTTGTCTCTGGGAGGGGAGCACTGCAGCAGGGCTCTATTAGACTTCATTGAGCTCAGGCCGGTTCCCCAGCCTGGTTCAAGGGGCTCAGAGAGTTGGCAGCCATGGGCTTTAGTGAATGAAAACAACCAAGGGCAGGGGGAAAGCCTGGGTGAGGCCAGCTCTGTGCTGGTTGCTCAGGGCCTGAACTGTGGTCGGATAATGAGCCACAGGTGGCTGCAGCTCAGCACTGGGCGAGCTGTCCCCATGCAGCGTTACGTGTGGCTGTTCCCCAGCTGCTCCACTCCAGAGGTGGGGGCTGTTGTTCAGGGTCAGGGACTGGAAAGTAGAGGGTTAATATCATGGGGATTTCACTCCCACCCTCACTCCTGCAACAGAAGTGGACTCATCTGCACAAATTATCTCAGACCCATATCCCTGGGATTGTGTATACAGAGCACTGAGATGCAGTTGCTTCTGGGGTGGGGCATAACGCTGCACAGCGATGGCTTACCCAGACCTGCGATGCAGCCGCCTCTGGGGTGGGGCAGCCAGGGAACAGCCGCACATAACAGCAGACAAGGACAGCTCACCTGGCACTGAGATGCAGCTGCCTCAGGGTGGGGCAGCCGGGGAACAGCCGCACATAATGGCACACAAGGATGGTTCACCTGGCACTGGGATGCAGCTGCCTCAGGGTGGGGCAGCCGGGGAACAGCCGCACATAATGGCACATGAGGACGGCTCGCCTGGGACTGGGATGCAGCCGCCTCTGGAGTGGGGCAGCCAAGGAACAGCTGCACATAACGGCACACGAGGACGGCTCACCTGGCACTGGGATGCAGCTGCCTCGGGAGCGTGATCCCACAAATGCAACTGTTGTTTGTCAGCACCCTGAAGACACTTAGTGACCGCCAAAAGAACAGCCAGGACTACCCCCGAACAGGTTACCCAGGGAACCGTGTCACTGGAGGGTTTTAAGACCAGGCTGGACACACCCTGTCAGGGCCACTCGGGGGGTCCCTCGGCTCTGGGCACCAGCCCTGAGGCCCCCTTGAGGTCCCCTCCAGCCCCTCGTCTAGGAAACCTCCACGCAGAACATGGCTCAAAGGGTGGAGCCGCCCCGGGAGCTCGGGGGCCTGGCCTGCCATCAAACCACGTTGCCAGCAAGCTTGAGGCAGCGGCCGGACAGTTCCTCTCAGTAGCTCACCTGTGGCACCAGCTCGTCCCCAGCTGGCCTAGAGGTACCAGGGTCAAATTCACCCCTGCCCCATCCTAGTGCCAGAGGCCACCGGCTACCCCCGCATGGGCCTCTCCCGCTTCCTCTCCCTCCCCTGGCTGGGCGCCAGGCCCATCCACTTCCTGCCCAGGCAGACAGCCCGAGCTGCGGGGCCGCAGGAGCGGCCGGGTGTGCTAGGAGCCCAGGGCAAGTACAGCTGATCATAGCTGGGGCGCAGGGCGTGGGGGGGGGGACACACGCTCTCTGAGGTGCATCAGCCACACAGGGGCTGGGGGGCTGCGAGCTTGGGGCTGGGGCAGACGGAGGCTGGGAGGGTCACCATGTCTGATGCCCTCCTGCCACAGGCCTGGGAGAGATCCGCTAGCAAGGGGGAGGGGGGCAGAGATGGGAGGGGAAAGGTTTCCTGTGAAAAACTGCCTCTGTGCATACCCCTCCCCCTCGCTCTAACCATAAACCCCCACTCCCCTCCCAGAGCCAGGGAGAGAACCCAGGAGTCCTGGCTCCCAGCATCCTTCTCCTCTAACCACTAGACCCCACTCCCCTCCCAGAGCCAGGGAGAGAACCCAGGAGTCCTGAATCCCAGTTGTTCCCATCCTAAATGTGAGACTCTTTGTTCTTTTCCCCTCCTTCTCTCTCTTTTCCTCTCCCTCCTTTAGTTGCTGTGACGGCTCCTGTCCGCACTGCGCAGGCCGGGAATAGGCACCCGCTGCCCTGATGGAGGCAGGGCCCTCCGGAGTCGTCCTGCTGACGCAGATCATACCCCAGCCCCACTCGTCAGACTCCTCTGCCCCACCGCGGCCCCTGCGGAAGTTCTACCAGGGGGAGCCGCTGGCTCTGGGCGTGAGTCCAGTGCGGCCGGGGGCTGGCGTGCGAAGGGGACCCAGGGGGACACAATGAGCCTTTCCAGCTCCCTCTGCTGTCTGGGCCATTAACAGGAGGCAGCTGCTGCTCTTGCTGGGTGTAGTCGCCTGATTAGCTTGGATGGAAGATGCTCAGGCTTTTAGGTGCAGGGGGTCCTGTCCTTGGCCACAGGCTGTCATGTGTGGCCTTGGTATAGTGCTGTGGCACTGAGGATCCCAAAGTGCCTTAGAAATGTGGTTGGGGATGATTGTCTCTGTAATACAGAGAGGGAAACTGAGGCACAGAGCTAGGCGGGTGCCTGAGTGGAGACTTACAGCGAATCAGGGTCAGGATGCATAAGACCTGACCCTCTGATCACCCTCCTCCCCTATGAGTTGGAAATAGAAGCCAGGAGTCCTAGCCCCTCTGTTGTAACCCACTAGACCCCCACTCCCCTCCCAGAGCTGGGGCTAGAACCCAGAAGTCCTAATTCCCAGCTGTTTTCATTAGGAATGTTCCACTTGGGAGCACGATGCAATTACGTTATTTTAATCCATTACTTCCATACTAAGGTGATGGGAAATATAGATGAAAACAAAGGTAGATGCTTATCTAAGTTGATTAGTTAGGTAGAGAGATTTACTAAATGCTTAATTCAGTAGTTTAATTGTATAAGTACTAAATAACTGTAAAAAGAACTTCATAACCCTGTAGTAAGGACTGAGTAACCATCTAGTGGGGAATGAATAACAATGTAGTAAGAACAGAGCATCTATGCAATAAGGATTGAGTACTAATGTAGTAAGAACTACGTAACAATTTAGTAAAGACTGAGTGACCATCTAGCAGGGAATGAATAACTATGTAATAAGGATGGAGTAGTCATCTAGTATGGAATGAATAACCCTGTAGCAAGTACAGAGCATCCATGCAATAAAGAGTGAGTAAGGATATAGTAAGAACTGAGTAACAATGTAGTAAAGACTGAATAGCCATCTAGTAGGAAATGAATAACCATGTAATAAGGATCAGGGGGTAGCCATGTTAGTCTGTATCCACAAAAACAGCAAGGAGTCCGGTGGCACCTTAGAGACTAACAGATTTATTTAGTCATATATAACACTTCTTGAGGTTTTTTACCCACGAAAGCTTATGCCCAAATAAATCTGTTAGTCTTTAAGGTGCCACCGGACTCCTTGATGTAATAAGGACTGAGGGTATGTCTTCACGACCTGCTGGATTGGGGGGTGGGGAGGGGGAGCAGCGATCAATCCAGTGGGGATCGATTTATCGCGTCTAGTCTAGACGCGATAAATCGACCCCCGAGTGCTCTCCTGTCGACTCCTGTACTCCTGCACCGCAAGAGGCGCAGTCAGAGTCGATGGGGGAGCGGCAGCAGTCAACTCACCATGGTGAGGACACCGAGGTAAGTCGATCTAAGTACGTCGACTTCAGCTATGTTATTCACGTAGCTGAAGTTGTGTAACTTAGATCGATCCCCCCCCCCAGTGTAGACCAGGGCTAAGTAACCATCTAGTAGGGAATGAATAACCATGTAGTAAGCACAGAACATCTATGCAATAAGGACTGAGTAAGGATGTAGTAAGAATTGAGTAACAATGTAGGAAGGACTGAGTATTCATCTGGTAGGGAGTGATTAACCTTGTAGTAAGTACAGAGCATTCATGTAGAAAGGACTAAGTAACATTGTAGTAAGGATTGAGAAGCCATCTAGTAAAGAATGATTAACCATGTAGTAAGGACTGAGTAACCAAGTAGTAAGGACTGAATAGCCACATAGTAGGGACTGAGGCCCAGCTTTACAAAGGTATTTAGGTGGCCAAAGTTGCAGAGAGGCGCAAGTGGGACTTACCAAGTCTTACACAGGTTAGGTGCCTGCAGCTCATGGAAGGTCAATGGGAGTTAGGCACCTAGCTCTGGCACTTTTGTCAAGCCCAAGAGGTCACCCAGCAGGCCAGTGGCAGAGTTGGGAATAGAATACAAGTCTATGAGGATCCATCTAGAGGCTTTATCCTCTCGTGAATGACTAGCCATTTAGAAAATACAGAGACTCCGTGTAGTAGGGACTGTGTCACTGTGTGGTAGGGATGGAGTAACCATGTAGTAGGGACGGAGTAACTGTGTAGTAGGGACAGAGTAACCGTGTAGTAAGTTCCCCAGAATGCAGCGCCTGGCCAGTAACATGTTATGCCCCATGGTGTCTCTGCAGATCACACAGATACTCACAGGCATTGTGCAGGTAGCTTTCGGCATCATCCTGATTCTGGCGAATGGCTACCAGATAATGGCGATACACGTGGGGACCCCCTTTTGGACGGGGATCCTGGTAAATCCTAGTGGTGGGGGCTTCGGGGGGTGTGTGTGAAAACAAGGAGGACATCGTCTCTGAATCCTCACTGTAGGGCGGTTTAGCCAGCCATCCCCGTGCCCTGAACCCGGCTTCCTGGAGCATGGACAATGGTCTTTGGAAGCCCAGCTGGCACTGCCAAGGGTGGCGGAGTGGTGACTGGGGCACTGGCCGTGGGGCTAGGAGACCTGGGGGTTGCCCCCTAACTTGCCGCTGTCCTGCTGGGCGAGCTCGCATGTCCCCTCTGTGAGTCCTCGGGGTGGCCACTGGCTGTGTGCCTGGGCAAAGCCCCGACCTATCACAGGGGCTTCTTTGGCCCCTATCCCTGCAGCACCTCCCCCATCTTCAACTGAGTCCCTGTGGGGCATACAGAGCCTCTGACATGGGGGGAAAGGGAAGAATGGGGGGATCCAGAACCCCCTGGCATGGAAGTGGGGGGCACATAAGGCCCTTGGCATGGTGGGGAGGGAGCCTCTGGGATGTGTAATGAGCTTGAGAAATGTGTGACCTCTCCTCCCCCCCCCCCCGGTGTATTGACCCTCACCCTGTCTGTGAGGGAGTGCCATTATCCCTAATGCATGGAGGGGAAACTGAGGCACCAAGCGAGTGGGGGGCACTGGGATGGTCTCACCTGTTGGGCGAAGAGTGGGCAGCAGCCTTGACCCATCTCTGCTTTCCCCCCAGTACATCCTTTCGGGGTTCATTTGTGTGGAAGCTGCCAAGAACCCCAAGATCTCACTGGT